AGTCTCGGCGACTACTAATGATACCAGTCATTCGGTCTGAGCGTGTCAAGCTTGTGACGTGCATAACACAATCATCTGTTTCCTCGAATTGTAGCTTGTTGTTGGTCAGCGCAAGGTTGTAGACCACCAAGTTACAAAGCCGGTTTGAAAAGTCTGACAGTTCCAATCTACGGCCAGACGCAAGTAAAGGTGACAGATCGTCTTCCGAGAGAATAGATGCCATCGCTTGCATCTTCTGCATCTTGTCGCAGCGCTTCTTCAGCCATCCCAAGATGAAAGAGTGGGGGCGGGGTATCATGATTTACGGTGGAGAGCAGCGTCTGTATGCCACGATGTTGTTACAGCGAGCAAGCCAGATACGGCGGATGCACATACATGTGAAGGATACAGTGTTACCCCAGATAAGGAAGGCTTGTATTTCAGCCACGAATGGAGCGCTGCAGACCGCGGAAATATTCCATGGCGTCGCGATACGACATAACCCGGGGGTCTAGACTCTCTACAGTCTGTTCACATCGTGCCGTGGCTATCAGGGTTGCTTTGTAGGACCCAGGTGATTGGCGTTGAAGCTCCTCATACATCTCTAGAACATCTCTGCGGTATCCTGTAATCTCGTTGCGCCAAAGGGAGAGAACTGATGCTTTCACGTATCCACGCCGACCAAGGGTTGGGAAACGACAGAAGTCGATCCTTGCATTCAAATTCAAATGGGGGAGGGGGGCCGTGGAAGGAGACCAGCATCACCCGGTCTTCTGCTTCCCCACGGTTGTGAAAGCCCCCAGGACGTCGCCCAGGCGGTTGCCAACTTTGACTTTCTGCCCCGCCTTGATGGCGAACTCGAAAGTCTTTGGTGCCTCGAACACCAGAACGATCGCGCTGCCAAGATAGAAACCTCCCATTTCTTGAGCAGGGGTCAGAGGTTGGCCATTGAGAAGTGGGGACGCGGCGGAGTAGACGGCTTCGGTGTAGGTCCCCGGTGGAGGTGGGCGGCCACGGACGTTGGTACGGAGTGCCTGAATCTGGGTGTCAGTCTGCATGTTTCAGGAGGGAATCAACGTTTTCTTACGGAGTCAAAGTTGACTTTGATACTACCGACGTTCGTCGCGCCGACCGGAATCATGCCGAAGAAGCCATATCTCCATCTTCCAAGGAGTGCAACCCGTTCGTTAAGTACAAATAGGTTCTGCAAACGCTTGGCCATGTAGGGAGATACCGAAAACAGTTCACCTGGCCTATTTGTGAGTCTAGGGTGAAAACAGTGTACAGCTGCACGCGCCAGTGAAATGTCTCCTTCTTTCTACCACCCACGCCGTAGGGCTGTGGAACCGGTGGTAATCTCCAGGAGCGAGGTATATCACAGTGAAGTAGAGCGAGTTCCCGTCTCTAACACTTGTTCCAGAGATGCTTCTCTTGCGTACTCCAAGTGACTCTGGAACACCCATTTCACGAATCACGGAAGCATCATGCGCGAGGGTCTCTTGGGGGCTGCCTGCTTGCTCAACCGACGCGTCGAATTGAGCACCATGCTTATGGGACACATCGCATGGATTCAAGTTGTCAGGATCTGAAGTCGCCCGTTCTAAAGGCGCCCTAGAACCAGTTGTGCTGGGCGTAGAGGTACCCAAGAGTTTGTCGAGACTATATTCTATCCCGTTGATGACGGCAAATTCCCTATGGTCGACCGAACCTTCATCTTCAGGAAAATCTACCACTGTGGACGTTGGCGATGTGGGACTGCTTGTGTTGGACCGTTCTACGCCGAGCAGCGCGTCCAGAGAGTAAGTAATCCCTTTGACTTGTTCCACGCGCAGATTATCGATAGTACCAAAGTGAAGTATAGTGCCATCAGCGGGACTGACCTGATGGTACGCTTAACATCGCATTTCGTCCGCTGTGAAGAGAACTCACCAGGGCAGCATTATCAACCGGCCGTGCACCTGCTTTGAGCTGTCTGTAGAAAAATTCCCCTAGACTAGCATATTTCGTCAAGTCACTTGGTTCAATCTCTTCCAGGTTGCATCCAAAAACATAAGCGTAGAACCGAAAAACATAGGGGCGAATCCAGATGGGTAGCTCGAAAGAGCTCATATAACCCCAGACCCGAGACATGGTACGGAGCGGTAATGCACCAATAACGTAAACCTGCCAGAATTGAGAAGAGATGCAATTAGCAAACACATACACTTACCTGCCAAGGACCTTTGAGCTTGATAACTTCATGACCTTCCTCGTCAACGTGAACTTCTTTCTCGGCACGTGCGTTCTTTTTGTGGTACTGGATCATCACGAGGAGGAGTGCGCCAACGGCCAGAGGAAGGGGATACCACTTCGTAGGAGTTTGAGTCCATGCTGATACTAATTTACCTGTGAGAGAGTTGTGAGTTAGGTCCGTTACACGCGGGCCCCTATGAGAAGGAGCGTACTGTAGAGTGGGACGGTGGACGAGGCACCACTGGCAGGTAGGTGCTGGGGTGATTCAGGTGGAATGACACTTCTTGTAGAGAAGATCCTCCCGAAAGCGCTTCTGTTCAAAGAGCGTAGGACTGTGCCGGATGAACTGATTCTTCGCTTAACAAATGGTCTGGGAAAAAAGGCAGAAGAAGTGCTGGAAGAAGCACTTGTAGTGGATGGAATTGCATGAGGGACGGCCTGCAAGGGTGGCCTTTTCGCCTTTAGTATCGCTTTATAGAGCATTTGGCCTGAGATAGTGGGCTGTTGCGCAGGTAGCAGGCTCGATCCCTACTTGCATTTATAAGCTAGCTCTGGAGAAGGATAGGAATGGAATGGGGAAAATGTTGCAAACATGAGTTCGGACGAGTGCCAGAGGAAATCCGATCGATACAGGCTGCTTTCCTTACAAACTTCCTTTGCGAATGGCCAACAAATGGCCAACGATAGACAAGTCCATAACAGGCAAGAGCCTTGGAATCTAATATGCATAAACAACACAATCTTCGGGGTTTGAATAGCATTCTATCACAGGAATCTTAGTCATCCACAATTTGCCTTTAAACCATCTCGTCGTCACCATGGGAAATGATGGAGGCAGTATTCCCGACAGACGGGATCTTGTGAAGAACAAGCCCAAGGCTGAGCAAGCTGACAAGGCCAACCAACTCCGAGCCAAGTGGTTTTTCTGTGCACTGTCAAAGGTATGGCTTGTCTCGTAAATTGAAAGCACATCATGCTAAGTGAGTGTCTTCCAGCGCTTGCTTCAGGAACCAGTTGTCGCTTGTGGTCTAGGCAAACTGTACAACAAGGATGCGATAATAGAATATCTCTTGGACAAGTCGGCTTATGGGGACGGAGAAAGGATATGTGGACATATCCGCTCACTAAAGGTACGTCTCGCCTGCAGCTTGTTACTGCGTCGCATGCTCACCTTCATAATAGGACGTTAAAACTTTGAAACTTACAGTACGATCGACTCCGACGCCCCCTTCCGACGCATCGCCCAGTGAAATTGCCCAATTTGTCTGCCCTCTCACCCTCAAGGAGATGAATGGGGGACAACCCTTTGTTTATATCCAGTCCTGCGGTTGTGTCTTCTCACAGTCGGGTATCCGCACAGTTCTTGGAACACTTCCGTCCACCCGGGAGACCTCTAGCAGTGAGGAGAACAACGGCGATTCTGCTGGCAAAGAGGAGCTTGAGGTCTGTCCTCAGTGTGCCACCAAGTTCACCCGGTCCTCCGACATCTTAATTATCAATCCCTCTGAAGAGGAGGAAGAACGCATGGGTGTGGCCATGGAACTCCGTCGTTCGCGTGAGCCCCCGAAGTCCAAAACGAAGAAGCGGAAAGCGGGTGTAGTTGGACTTGTTGAAGAGGCTACCGCAACCTCCAAGAAGAAGAAAGGATCGCCAGCAGGACATTCGCCCTCGCCAGCACCCCCTTTGAATCCCTCTGCATCAACTGCATCACGAGCTCTTTCGAACACTCTCGCAGTTGAGGCGGCCAAGCGCGAGGCTAACATGAGCGATGCTGTAAAATCATTATACCGCGGAAAGAATGATCCGCCGAGGAAAGAGACGTTCATGACGATGGGAACATTTACTAGAGTAAGTGTTCATTGATTTTACGGTTACGAGAAAGATGCTAATCCGTTTGAAATCCAGTACGCATGACGTTTCGTTGCTATCGGAATCCTTTTCTTGTTGTACCACGGGTTATTGTATGTGTTTCCCATAATCTACTCCGTACTTGTCTCTATACAGAACTCGGTGCTCAGTGTTGTGAGCACCTATCGAACCAGTATCAGTCGAAGTCGAATTTGCGGTTCTCGTAAAAGGGACATCTGAGACCACCGATCCATCACTGGGAGATACAGTCAGTCTATATTTGACCTGCATGTCGATACTGTCAGCGTTTCGCCCAGGTCGGCTGCAAGGTCCAGCTTCCTCATACCCTTACTCCTGATTCGTCACACCGTGAATAAAAATTGCATCTAGCATTGTCAGCGAAGGCTACTACTTCAGTATCTTCCCGGCCTATCTCGTCGCCACCGCTGAGGCTCCCAACGCGGCTGACTTGTCTGCCTGCGTTGGCAGTGTCGTTAGGAGGGACACTGCTGGCGTTTGTGAGTGTCCGATTTCTGCTTTCGTGGGGAAGGCTTGCGGGCTAATGATAGTTAACCCGTTTGGATTGCAGCGACGTTTTCCTTGTTAATGTTTACACAAGTGCTTTCGATGTCGGCAACTCGCTCGTTGGGTTCGCTACCCTTGCTCAAGTGGTACCATTGGTTCCATTTGTTGAGGCATCATTGAGTACCGCACTAGATGGGTAGGGAAGCTGGTATCGTATTTCCTTTACTTACACTTCCACCGGCTTACTTGCCCTAACATGGCTACGAGTAATGATCGATTGATCTGTTTTTTTCTGCTCTGTTCGACTCAGTGTCGCCGTGTTGTTTGCTGCGGATCACCCAGATGCAATCGCACCTGGTAATACCAGCATGAGTGGAAGGAGATAGATACGTGACAGGCATGCCGGTCATCCCACCGGCCGACTAGCTCAGTTGGTTAGAGCGTCGTGCTAATACAATGACTCGACGGCTGTTCGTTGGCAACACTGGACGGCTGACGGTCACGTTACGCGAAGGTCTTGGGTTCGATCCCCACGTTGGCCAGCCTTTTTGTCCTCGTAAAACATCTACTTTTCTGCCTGGACGGCTCGGCTGTGGGTCACACTGGCATGCATTTTGCTCACCCGACCCAGCAAAAGGCGTTGCCTAAACGTACGGTTCTTCTTTTTGCGTCGTTATCGTCGTTGCCGACGTTCTCGGTCGTCAAAGTTCGGACTCGGACTCCCTCTCGACTTGCACATGCGGGATCTTTCAAGTTATTCTTACTTACTGGAAGATGACCGGGACCCCCTAATCATGGAAATGAGGGCACCAGTCAACTCCCGTGCAATCCGAGAAACACAAACCGTGACTCAGTGCGGAGCTCTTTAAGTGCCAGCCCTCCAGAAGGCAGACGTCCCACTCACGATCGCAGTGACTGAGCGGCTTCAAAATCCAGATTGGTAGGATTGCATCCAGCGGTCCCCCCATTGAACTAGTAACAAAAACGCTTGTCGTAGACGAAGGATTCGATATGACAATTGGTCAATGATCTGATTAGAGCAGCAGCAGCTCATCACCTAGGTCCTACAGAAACACTCAGCCCCGACAACTTGAAGCTTCTCGAAATGGACGGAAGGCCACACAAACCTCCTTCAGGCGGTAGATGAAACGACACTGACAAAGCTAAGGCTAGGAGCCTATCAGCCACATCCCGACGTGATCGGTGCAACGACCGATCGATCGCGGTACAGCGACGTTCACGGACGACAATGTCTGATTTCTTCATGACGGGTATTAGCCTTTCAGCCGTGAGCTCCACTCAACCCTGGATCCCAATACGGCCGCGATGGCATCGACCGCATCCGGTCTCCTCTTAGCCCCGCGCTCCCTCAGGCTGTATCATCGATACAGCACCTATGTGACCATCCGGCCTGGCTTTTAACGTTGTTTTGACGTTCGATGGTCGTTTGACACACAATAACAATAGTGGACAAGTACCAATAGTACATAGTACAGGCTATAGACAGTCTGAGGATCTCCGAACACCCACACCTCACAAATAGCACTGGTAGGTACAAGCCCATTCTAAATCTAGCCTTTAAGTTGGTCGTTGGTTGACAAGTGCTGGGCGTTATGCCCAGCGTCCTAGCAATGCCATGATCCCAGTGCCGAGCAACATGCAGCCCACCGCATAAGCAACCTTCCCGTTCGACGCGTTGTTCATATCCTTGTTGAATATGAACTCGTGTGCTAGTAGCTAAGCATGATCGAAATCAAGGCGAGGCGCTCGAGAAAGGGCAACGACACCTACCTCCACCATCCCAGTGTAGAGCAAGATCCCTGCGCTCAGGGAGTCCATTATACCGCTGACGATAGACGCCGTTGTACTGCCGGGGTTGTAGGTGTTCCGCACACCAAGACCCACAGCAATGCCTATCGGTGTCATGACGGCATATAGAATGGCTGCGCACACAGGGACGAAGTTGTATCGGGGAGGAACATTCATAAATGCTAGTCGCGAGCCTATACCAAGACCTTCGAATGTTTCTGGAACATCGCATTAGAGAGACGGCCCTTTGAGGTAATCGGGGACATACGATGGAATATGATTACCACGAACAGCACTTTGAAGTTAGGATCAACAGCGAGGGTAAGCCCGATAAGCAGACTATGCAACAACCGTTAGCGATCGACTGCCGTCGCAAGATGAAATCTCACCTATGCAGAAGAACCCCAAACTCCAAAATGAACACACCGATGATCTGGGCCAACCCAGAAGCATCGTAGTCGCCATGCTGGTGGGACGCCTCGATGTCAGACCCGTGTTTCTCGTATGCCGAATTATCATCAGAAGAGGCGGCCTGGGCAGAAAGGTTTTCAGGACCGTGGGCAGCATGAGAACCGATTCCATGTCCGTGAGCGTCTGTGGTGATATTCAGGAGTGGACGACTAAGCCAAATGAAAAGACATACCATGCTTTATTCCTAGTGCTGCAAGTTTTGCCGTTCCCCAGCGGAAGGCGACAAGTTCTATGATGAATATAGAGAAAAGACTGAGCATTGCGAACGCGAGAGCATACGGCTAATGAACTGTTAGTGAAGGGAATAAAATCAAGAGGGAAAGAAATGTACATATTCCTGCCATGCGGGGGATAAACATGGAGATCCGAGTTCATCAAGAGCTGGGCTCAGTAAGTGGATAAAGGAAGTGGCTATCTATGTCAAGGGTAAGAAACGGGTACAAGAGCAAATAATGAAACTGACGATAACACCAGAACCAAAATATTTGGCGAAGCTGTGAACGAAGGTGAACACGATGGTGATGATCTAGGTTGAAGGACGGACTCGAATACGACGTCGGGTACGTTGACCCACTGGGTTTTCTTGGCGAGAACAGGAAAGAGGGCTCCGAAGGATGAACCTATAAGGACGATGAAGACCGAAGCGATACGGAGGCTGGTGTATGAATCTGCGCCTCCCCCATTGCCACAATTGAGATCAGAGGAAGACATGGAGGACGGTCGGTAAAAAATAAAATAAAATGAACTGCTTTTCGAGATTCAACGTTGAACGTTGAACACGGGAGGGGGGCTAGCAGATGGAGAGTGTAGCGTTGGGAGAGGCGATTACTTATGTGTTGGCTACAGTGACGACTGTGAGGGTTCTCAGCACCCTCACAGTCACTCCCAGCGTCGAGCAGCCCTGGGCCCAATCTGACAGGATACACTCCCAGTCAAGAAACTTACACTCCCGTCGAGTAGCATACTCAGGGTGGTGGATTCGAGAACACCAGCACAGCTGCTCATCGACATCGATGCATCTTTTGCCAATGCGTATGCTATTCTGCTGGAAGGCATGACCGGACATGTCGATGCGAGCCGAGTTATTTTGGAACGCTGTAGACCGTCACGGTGCTGGTACTGCTGAGGTAGGTGGTAAGAATAAGCAGGTCATGGATGGTCTGGCATCAGTGCGCGGTTCCCAGGTCCAACTGAGATCCAGTGAGCACAACATTTATGATACACAGGCGACACCAAAATTGAGAGAGCTGTTATATTAATGAAGATGGTGATCAAGGAGTTTTAAGTTGTGGTTCGATGCATTCTGAATAAGATTGAATGAGGGGTTGGCGCTCTATGCCGCAATGCGTCAGTCACGGCCAGCTCAAAGAGGTAGGTCATCCTGTGGGTCTTGTACACGGCCCGGGTTGACACTGCCTATTAATCATCTCACACTGTCCGCAATTCTCAGGACTAGTCCGACATCGGGAATTCCCACCTAGCATTGCCCAAGACCAGGTTGCGCGTCATCATGTTTATATGGGCCCATCACAGGACGTGATGCATGATGTTGCAACCCAACGGTATCGCGCCTTCCGACGGCTTCAAACCACCCTTGGCAAACTCTCGGGATAAACAAGTTTGTAATGTTTCACTCGTCTACATGATTGCTTATATCACCTGAGAGCTTTTTCAAGTTAACCCGTGTGTTCCGTGATATACGCACACCTTCCGGTCGATGGCCTGTGGTTACCCACAAACGCGTCATTTGGGCACTCTATCATTTCGTGGCCTTTTCATTGGCTGTGTACGGCTTGTTAACTCCACGCCGACCTACCAGACTACCGCACTTCGAAGTTTGTACGACCGCGCATTGAGTCGCCGTCTTTATTAAGCACACTGCGATCAATCAATGTATCTCCACACTCGTTCATCCTCCCTCTTCTTCCACTTCCCCCCCTTTCCTCTCCCATGTACCCTCCTGGCCTGGAACCTCATGCACATGCCCAAAAGAATTCACTTTCGCATGATCAATTGCCCAAGATAGACTCAGACTCACCTCCTCAGTCACCGATAGGCTCGCAAAGCCACGTTCCGCTCGACTTCTTTGACCCCGTTGGTGTTCAGGAGTTGCAGCGCACATTGACGTCTCATCACGTTGAGAGTGCCCTCGATATCGAAGCTCGCCCACATGCTCCTGGAAATGCTTCAGGAGTCCAGCTTCAGAGTTCTGCATCCACTGCCGTTGCCGATGATGATTGGGATTTCGAGACTTTGCTAAAGGACATCGTCAGACGGTGAGAGCCAGATTTTCTTATCTCCCCTCGTGCTCGTAGTTTACGTGTTTTTGATCTTTTCTAGTTCTGGCGAGGACGGAGTCCAGGCGCGTGAGTTGGGAGTCATGTTCAAAGACCTACGTGTTGTTGGAATTGGCGCCCGCGCATCGTTCCAACCCACCGTAGGTTCCATTTTCAACCCCGAGGCGATCATGAGAAGCATAAATACCATGCGTCATCCTCCCGTTCGGGACATCTTGGCAGGTTTCGAGGGTGTCGTTACCCCAGGAGAGATGCTTCGTACGCACACCTCCTTCCATTTCTTATTTTCCATTTTCGATTACTGAAATACGAAAATGTCCCTCCCAGTGGTTTTGGGCCGCCCTGGTTCCGGATGCACTACGTTCCTCAAGACGATTGCTAATCAACGCGGCGATTATCACGCCGTTCATGGTGACGTTCACTACGACTCCTTTACGCCCGAGGACATCGCACAAAGATATCGCGGCGACGTGATATATTACCCAGAAGACGATGTCCACTTCCCCACCCTTACAGTCGAACAGACATTATCTTTTGCTGCGACCATGCGCGCTCCACGGAAACGGCTCGCGAATCAGTCCAGGGAGGAATATACTAAATTGGTCGTTGAAGTCCTGATGCGTATTTTTGGGTTAGAGCATGCAAGGGATATGGTAGTGGGTGATGCAGCCATTAGGGGCATTTCCGGTGGCCAGAAGAAGCGTGTTTCCATTGCTGAGGCACTTTCCTGCAGAAGCAAGATCAACGCTTGGGATAAGTGAGTCTTTCTTTCTCCAGCAATCATCCGAAACTATCAATTTCTGACCCCGTTTTTACTCAGCTCAACACGCGGTTTGGACGCCTCCACCGCCCTCGAGTTCGTCCGTGCGCTTCGCATCGCAACAGATATTGGTCGCGTGACTACGGTCGTCTCCATTTATCAAGCTGGCGAACAACTCTACAGCCTTTTCGACAAGGTATGCGTC